TCATTCCATGACACACGGCTTTTACTAGTTTTTCCCTAAACTTTATACCGTCCAAACCCCAGAGAAATGCACTGCTTTAACGTTCATTGCTTCCAAGCTGTGCAGTTTTTAGTATTTGGTTTCCTGTTGGACCCGGATTTCTTTGCCTCTGCTGTTCATTAGGTGCACACTCCTGGATTTCCTTCTGAGCCTTTTCCAGAGCAGGTGTCTCCAGCTCTGCCGGGGGCAGTGTCTGGGGGAGCTGTTGGTTGCTGTTTGCTGCTGGGCCTTGATGTTTTGTTGCTGGTCCTTATCGCTGTGGGTATCTTTTGGGCTGTTCCCAGTCTGTTGAGATGTTAAACTCATCTCTGTTCAGTGGTGTGAGATGCCTTAAAAGAAACCTTTAAAATTCCTTTCCCCAAGACAAAGTCAAACCAAGCCTGAGTAGAGAAATAAGCCTTAAAAGAAATAACCTTGGTGTATTTTGCATGGGTGCAATGGCAGGCAGCCCAGTGTGTGAGTGTGAGTGAGAGGCAGAGTGGAATTGTGCCCTTGTGTTCCCCAGCAGCTGTGGCGAGTGCAGGCCCAGCAAGCGCTGAAGCTGCAGCAGTGGCAGCAAGGATTGGCCCCAGTGGCTGGAGCTGGCAGAGGAGGGTGGCCAGGCCGAGGATTCCAGCAGAGGATCTGTGGGCAGGCGCAGGGGCTTGGCCCGCTCTGGAGCCCTGGCTGCTGCTGCGTTGCCTTGAGTGCAGGCTCAGTGGCGGCCTCCCATCCTCCTGCTGCAGCGGGAAGTGCAAATCTCCGGGGCTGCAGAGCCTGGAGCCGAGGCTGAGGGGTCCCCCCGTGTTCAGCTGTGCTGGCGGCTGTTTCTGCCCTCAGGGACACTTGGCATGGGCCACGCCACTTGGCCACCAGTGCTGCTGCTCTGCCCTCCTTGGGCAGGAGCCGATGTCCTGGCTGGGTGTTGGGAGCAGCAAACTGCCAAGGCAGGCTCTGTGCCAGCCCAGCTTCCTGTGGGGGAATATTCCTTGATATCTGATGCAGTGGTTGCTGGAGCAGTCAGAATTGTTTCTGTCCCCCTTTTAGGAGACATGGTGTCAGCAGAAGATGTTGAAGCCTTCCTGCTCAGGGCATTTCAGTGCCAGGCTCTCACAAGCACACACAGCTCTGCCGGCTGAGCTGACCATGGGGGGTAACCTGTGCTTTGTCTGATTCCCTTTCCTGAATAATAGCCTGTCTTGTAACTCTTTTCCCTTCTGCTGCCCTTGCAGAGCCATCCATAAACACATTTTCTGCCTCAGGCCAGGGAATGTCATCAATCTCTCCCAGCTTGCAGACAATGAGGCCACTCATTGGGTTAAACATTGTAACACAAGAATTCTTTTGGCATGGCCCTGTTAAACATCCACCTATCATTGAAATTCTTTTTCCCTGTCTAGGAGGGCCAGGGCAGGAGCCTCAGTTATTCTGCTTTTTAACACTTGAAAATTCTGTGTTTCCCCCTTGTGTCCATCCACCCAGTGTTCCTGACTGTGGTGTTGTAGGGAGAGATCCCTGGCTCCAAAACCCTGCCTTCAACAGGGACTCAGTAACAGGCTGTAAGCCCTTCCTTCCCTCTCTTGGAATAGGGTATTGATTTTAAGTCAATACAAGCAACCTCTTGTCCTGGTTGCTTCAAAGTCATTTGGAGAGGCTCCATATCTAATTTTCCCTCTTTCCCTGGGGCTGCCCACACTTGAGGGTTCACTTCAGCACAGGCCTTGGCAGACACTTGACACAGTGGTACAACAGCATAAGCCTCTGTGTCACCTTTTACAATATTAAAATCCAGCCATCAAATTCCTTCCTATTCAATGACAATCACAGTAGGAAGAAAAAGAAATTAATTATTTCAAACCTATTCCCCACAGCCCCTATTAGTGGTTGATCAAATTCATTCCTGCTCATCTTTCGCACTTAGTGCCTTAATAATTAAAACATGCCTTTACTATTATCTCCTTTAGGTGTAGGATTCAGAGTGGATGGAGAGGCCCCTGTGTCCATCAGGAGAGGCCTCCTCTGGATGCAGAG